AGAATCCTCCAAAATGCTTTATATGTTGGCCCAATATTTAACCTGTAGAATGTGAAAGGATCACAAATTCCAAGTCCTGCCATGAGATTCAAAGCAAGGAAATGCCTGAGGTACTGCCTCTTTCCCATCCCATCTCCTGAGCTTCATGCAGCACTTCCCACAGCTTCTCTAGAGCTCAGAGCACACAGGCACTCACCCAGCATTTCACCTGCTCTCCTTCCAGCACACAGCCTTGCACAACAAAGGCACAACAACGTACATTTCTGCATTTTACTCCAACAGTGGGTTTGTTTCTCATTCCTTTGTAGTTTCTGCCCATCACTTACCCCAGGGGGCTAAGCAGAGGATGGTGACCTCAGAGCTCCTGTGCTGCTTAACAAGCCAGCTTGAGTGTCTGAGTAAAACTATCCCAAGCTCCTAAGGCAAGCAGCAAGGAAACACCAGGCATTTACTGGTTAGTGAAGAGGGATTTTAATGCCTTCCCTAAGAGAGGAGAGCAGATGGACATCCCACATAAACTCAGCAAGCTAGAGAAGAGAAAAACACTGGTGAATGAAGTACCTGGGGTTATGTCTGTAATACTGAGAAACACACATCAGGACATTCCAGGCCAGACAGGCACGCCAAGCTTGTCTTCAAACACACAAATGGAAATTGCACCTTCCCATCCTGCCCCAATGCCTTTGCATGCTGTATTCCTACTCCCAAATGAAGTGCCATGCTTGCAGGACTGGATCTTGCAACTCCCTCTCGACATTGCAACATCTGCAGAAATGCAAAGGCCCAGGGGTGGCCACTCAAGAAAGCACAGAGCCAATGCAGCCAAGAAAATGCAGATGACAGCCTGCAGGAATAGACAGCAGGAAATGGAAGGGCAGGGATGGAAATCAGTAACTGGACACATGTGATACAGACAGAATCCTTTTCACACAAGCAGTATTGTTTTCATTTAGGCATCACTAGCAAGAGCATGACTGGCTCACAGAAATGCCTGATGTGGATCCCAAAGCATAAATCTTGCAAGTACTTGAGGAAGAGGCAGCTCTATCTGCCCTCCCTGACTCACTGGTTTCCTCAGTACTTTCACCACATTGTCCTTTTGCAGCTCTTGCAGGCTTCAGGTCCATGGGATCATTTATAAAGCATGGGATTTTGAAGTAACAAAAGACATGGAAAAGCAGCAAAACCTGTCATTTTCTTGCCTCATGACAGACCCAGCTGCCCATTATCCCATTTGCCCACCCTAAATGCCATGGCTTTCTCTAAAGCCATCCCACATCCTAATAACTCCTGGCTCTGACATGCCTTCAGTTTCCTTATTTCTGAGCAAAAAATAAATATATTTTAAAAAACAAGAATTATTACATTGCTGATTATTAAGAAAATAATCAGCAGATGATCTATCATAACATTTATTTTGCTTTCCAGGAATAAACTTAATATCCAGGGACAGTGAAGCATGAATGGGAATTCCTGCATGACCCGAGTGGGCTCCAGTATTAAACAGTGACAATCTGTAATGGCCACGGGCACTTGGAGAAGGAACATCCAAAACTGGCAACTCAGAGATGACACACTTCCAACATTTTTCCTCACAAATCCCACAAGATGCTATTCTAAAGTCCAACTGAATGACAGTAAGTAACAGAATGCCAGATTCTGGATCAGCCCCTGAGCTGTACTCTGATCTAAGCAGCTTCCAGAAGGCCACAAGCATAAGGAACAGGGCAATCATCTGGTAGTCCCAGACCTTCCTGACCTCCAGGAATCACAGGTTTAAGAATTATGGGACAGAAACTGCATGCAAACAACCCACCTGGGCCCCACCCTCTACAAACTGCCTAACTACTGGGACATCCACAGCAGTGAATTGAAAACAGTCAGTTACACTGTGTGAAAAAGTATTCCTATTTATTTTTTATACATTTAGTGCCTAAAAATTTCACAGGATGTACCCTGATTATTTGTGTAGCAACCATCTTTCTAGTGTTCATGATTTCATGTGTTTCTATCACTTCCCCTGCAGTCACCTCTTTGCAGGCAGAAAGTCTACAAACTCAGAATCTTCTAAAAGGATGCCATTCCATTGCCATTATAAGTTGCCATTGCCACTAAAAGTTCACTACAAGACAAATTAACAAAGAAATACCACGTGAACTTTTTTTTGTCATCTAGCATAAGAACTGCTGTCTTCCACGACACACTAATTTATTTGTCATTTTCTCTCCTCTCATCTGTTCTAATCTGTTGCCATCCTTGTCTTTCAGAGGTAAATGCCTAGAGGCAAAGTTCATGGTCCTCTGAGGCCAATACACAGGTGTATCATGTGGAAAATAAGCAGTCATTCTTAGAGCTGTAAATAGTAAATTCTGTGCAGCACAGGAAACATCTTTTGCAGATCTACATCCATTTTCACAATTAAGGGCATTGAGGGTGTTGATGACATCAATATTCAGAAGAGCTGAGAGTTCATTTCCAAACACTAGGGAGGTGTCAGCAGCTGCAGTCACAGCAACTGATATTCCCACCCCAGCTTCTAGATCAGTGACTGGTTATCAAATATCTTGCTAAGTGGAAACAGTGCTTGCCAACTCCTTTTCTTTTCAGGCCAAGTACATTTTTAGAGCAACTGTGCTCAATGGGATTCTTTTGATCTTTCTCCAGGGTTTCAGATCATGCCCACAAGTACTAATTTGTCTCCCTGTAGTGATGAGTAGCACAGGTAGGAGGGAATCAGACCCTTTACTATACAGCACCAATTCTGCACGCAGAGCTACGTAAGCAGAGTCGTGTATTTATTCACAAAAGTAATCCTGATAACACTGAGGCAGCAGCAGGATCGAGGTGTTGCAACACTTACAGGCACAAGAGACTAACAGCAACACATGTCCTTGGGGAGACTTATCTTTTTCTCCTCTGTGCTCTCTCCCCACTCTCTGACTTTGTTGAGACAGCAATCCTTAATGACATGTATCTCTGCTGCACCCACACATGAGAGGAAGCAGAATTTAGTCTTTCTAAAAAGTAATTTTTAAAACAACATGTCACAAAGCACAAGCTGGGCATAAAAGCTGTGTTTCTCAGCTGGATATGAAATCAGTTTTGCCAAACAGACTCTTCCCTGAAACTTACATGGAAATCTGTGAGAGCAAACAATTGGAACTATCCTCTTGCTAAGACATGGTACCATCTCCACAAGCACCTTTAATTCCATCCCAAAACACAGTCGTGGCAAGCACAACATTTCAAAATTTCAAAACAGAGGAACCAGTCTGTGGAAAGTTTAAATGACCTGTGTAAAGTTCATCACTCGTGAGCCTGGATAAGGCTTACTCCTGGTTAGTAACCCAGCAAACCCTTTTTTCTTGACTCATAACCGAGTGCTAACAACCCCTTTCCATAGACTACATGACAGAGAAATTTAAAGCTAGAGAGTTCCCTGACAAAAGCACTGTTTCATCAGCACCAGACCCTCAAGAGAAGAACAGGGTAAGGCTGACAGCACTAATCTAATGAAGGAACACCAGCCAGTGTTTGTACTATGGCCTCAAAAAAAGGAAAAATAAAATTCTTACTTGTAAGAATGCACACTCACCTTGTAAAATTCTAACCATCAGTACAGCAGGCAGACTCCAGATCGTCAATAGCAGCGCTGCTGTAAAAGCAGTGCTCCCCCGGGACTATCGTGAGTGCTTTGAAAACTGGCATGTGTGAAGTACCCGCATCAAGGAGGGTTCTGAGATCAGATTCCCTGAAATCAGCTCCCATATTTACTGACCTTCAAGGGCAAAATAGGAACTCCAGTTGTTTACATAAGCTTTACAAGAGGAAACTGGGTATGTAGGGCTGTCTCGGGGTGTAACCAGAAAAGTTACATCTCTACAGGGACTTAAGGTGTGGAGACCGCACTGCTATCTGTAAACTCATTACTGTGCATATTCTATTTGCAAATATAATGACAGGTACACCTTTCTAAATACAGGAGACTAACACATATTTAGCATTCTGGCTAAACCACTGAAGAGAAACAACACAGCTCTGCCTTTGAGGATAGAGACAAACAACAGCACTTGGCCTCCACTGAAGGAGTTGAGAGGCTTCTGATCAGCTGCACTGCCAGTAACTGGTATTACAGGTGCACACAATGGGCAAATTGTGCAAGACAGCAGCTCGGGGCATGCCCGCAGAACCTGCCTCAAGCCTGAATTATCAAGCAGTGAGATGGTTTCTCTATTAAGAGGCATCACTGACCATCTCACTACTTGGGAGCAGGCAGTCCCCCCGTGGGGAACATCCAGCTATAGTTCTCTGGATGTTGGCCACCATTCTTTACAAAAGAGCATCCACAGCAACCTTTCTGATCTCAGCAAACCAACACCAAGGCAGCACTAGAGAGGCAAAAGATCCCTTCCCGGATCCTCCTGCCCGTAGCCCTTTAACCCGGAGGGCTGCTGCCCCGTCCAAGCTCAAACTCGCCACTGCCAGCCCTGAGCCGGGTCCGACAGTGACACTGGTGACCGACAGAAGGTTCAGAACCAGATCCACACGCTCTCGCTGATTGTTACCTGATGGAAAGGTGCAGCCAAATCCCAACATGCCCCATCAGACCCGGCAGTGGTGCAGAGGCACCCGGGCTGGAGGTAACGCTGCAGTGCAAGCCCTCCACTTACCTGACAACAGGGAATACACCTGGGGAAAGCTCTTCCCAACGATCCCGCCACAGGAAAACCCACCGCCAACACTAACCCGCCTTACCCCCTGTCAGCCCAGAGACAGACACATCCACACGAAACCTCACTCGATCCTTCTGCAGGCACTGGAGCCGTCCTGCACCTCAGCTCCTCGAGTTACAGGAAGACTTTATAAATAAAGCCTCTCTGTAACAGCCTTGTTTTCCTGATTGTCTGAGAAAGGCTCTCGGCGTGACCCGGGCTCATCCCGAGGGTCGGAAAACAAAGCGGAAAAGAAGAGAACTTTCATTTCCCCGAACAGGTGCAAACCTTGTTCGAGCCCGCCTGGGAATGGCTTTCAGCGTGCCGGTGCCGAGGGCAGCCCCGCTCCGCCCGGCCCCGCTCCGCGCCCTGACAACGCGACCGTCGAGGGGCTCGGCGGCTCCGGCAGGGCACGGGCGGCTGCTCCTGCCCGGCCCGGCCCCGCTCCGCTCGGCCCCGCTCACTCACCATGGTGCGGCGGCTGGCTGGGAGCCGGCCCAGCCCAGCCTGGCCCGGCCGCCTCCGTCCCGCCCGCCCCGCTCAGGTGAGGCCGGGCCGCATCGCCTTCCCACAATGCCCCGAAAGGGAACTGCCGGCGCTCCTCCCGCCGCTCCGGGCAGCGCCGCGGGGCACGGGCTGGGGCCGGGCAGGGCCCCACAGAGCCACAGCCCGGCTGTGAGGGTGCTGGCAGGCCGCGTGTGCCGGGGCCCGCGCACGGAGTGACCGCACCTGCTGCCCCTACGGGCACGAGCCGCTCGAAGGGCGCCTTTCCCACCTCGGCATTCCCGACACCAATAATACAGTTCATGTTTTCACTGGCTCCAGCTGCTCCCCTGTCAAGCATTCATGCCCTAAAGACACGGGTAGATCTATAGGCATGATTGCTCTGCTGCCCATCTCCATCAAAATGGAACTCTGATAGTTTAAATACTTTCAGCGGCTGGGCTTGGCTCAGCGGTGCTTTGTGATGCAGCTGGGTGAGAGGGCAAGACATCAGCAAATCCCTGTAACCTGTGGCAGGGATTTGCTGATAAGCAGCTGGTGCCAAAAGAATGTGTAACATCCACAGACTCAGCACTTGAATCAAAAGATCTAAATCCAGGCCTAGGGCTTCTCAGATTTGTACAAGGAGTCTGATCCAGATGCAAACTACCACAGGGGCATAAAGTGAGAAGACTTAGCATGCTTAAATCCCATGTCTACAATCTAAAGGAGAGGCATCCCCCAGAGCAAGCATGCTTCAGTTCAGGATAAGGATCCCAACTCCTCAGGCAGGGAAGAACTGTGCCCTGCTCCTGGGTGCAGTGGTGCATGTGAGCCATCAGTGAGAAAGGGAAAGAAATCCAAAGGGACTTGGGGACTTCAGGGATCCCTGTGGTGTCAGAGACAACCCCTCTGCAGCCTCTGGCTTCAGAGAAGGGAGACAGATCCCTGGCCAAAAGCAATTGTTGCATGTACAGATGAGAGGGCAGTTGGGTTGGAACCTGCTCCCAGTTGGAAATACAAATTTGCAAGAACAGAATGCAAATGCAGATGTGTGCTCCTTAAGTTCATTTAACAGCGTGGAGGTAAATTCCACATTTCTCTAACTGTGCATGACCCTTCTCCCCTTAGCCCTGCCTCGGTTTTGGGTTGGCCAGTACAGACATACTGCTGCTGCCTGCTGAGCTCTGGTTTCTGCATGTTCCAGCCCACCAGGCAGCACATGGCACACTGTGCCGTGATGCTGCTGGCTGCCCAGTGCTCTGCTTTCACTTCTGGAGTGCACCACACACAAGGTACAAGGCCCAGCTGCCCCACAGATCTCAGAGATACATCTGCTCACTTGTCCCTGCCCTTTCCAAGTTCACATCCAGGGCCCATAAAGCAGCACTATCTGCAGAGGGCAGGAACATCTCACCCTTCCTGCGGTGGGGTGCAGCACACAGCGTGTGCTGGCCTCACTGGTTTTACTGGGGCACCACCTTGCCTTCAGTGAGCCTGCCAAATACATACTTAGTACAATCAGAATCTGTTAAAGCAGACCAAAACCTTTTACCACATTCTCTGAAGGACTCACACAAAGTGCCACAGTACCCACACTGCCCTCCCAGGAGATAAAGGTCTGCCTCCCTCACAACCATGTTCATAACCCTGTCCCTTGCACCCCCAGCTCTACCTGCTGTGGCTTATGCAGAATAGAGGTCTGACTCTGTACTTAAAGCCCAAACACTGCCTTGGTGAACAGGGAGTGTTCACAGATAGCACTGCAGCTCTGGGAAAGCCAGAGAAGACTCAGAACAGGATTTGCCTAACACACAAGAATGTGGACACCACAGTGCAGCTGTACTGCAGATGTGAGGCATCAATACTTGCATCTCCAAAAGGAATTTAAAATTAAGGGATGAACATACCCCTCACTGCCTACCTGTCTAATTTACTCAAGTGATGGACAATAATATTTTTTTTGCTTAACAACTGTTCCCCAATCATTTTACTTTTCTATGCAAAGATCTTACCTAATTAGGCCATAAACTCAAGAGAACCAGCCTGCTGCTTGTGTGTTTTTGCAAGTAATCAGAAAAAAAGTGGCAGCAGCAGCTAACACAGCATGCATAGAGTGAACATTAAGAGCAGTGGCCAAAGTCAGCCCATTATGGCCAATCTTGGAAGCTGGCAGAAAGAAGCCCTACAGAAACAAGCCTGCAGATATAGGATCATGCCTAAATTAGATGCTTTCCAGCTCAGAAAGCCAGGCTGCACTTAATGACTGCCTAACTAGCCATGGTAAGGACTTGGAATTCTCCCCTCTCTGCCTCTCTGCCACTAGCACTGTGTAGCTGCATAATTTCCTGATAAAGAAGATAACCATCAGTAGTTCCTAGCTGGGAAGTTTGAGCTGTTAGTGTCACTCAGCAGGGGGAGGCAGCTGGGGTGCACAGCTGTGCCAGGTGAACCAATGGGGTGGGTGAACTTATGTCAGTTAAATACCACAACATGAACTGCTTCCACTGCTTCCCTTAGGCTCAGTTAGTTAACTTGAACATGAATGTTTGCAAAGTAATGCATATTTATTTCTCTAACTCAAAACTGCTGCAAAAAGCAGATTTGAGACCCTTCTTTTTTGGCTTCCTTTTCTGCATGGAAGGAGTATAAACATTTTCTTTCTTAAGGGTTCTTTGAAACAGGCTTTTAAGAGAGGCAAGGAGCTTTTTACTGCTTTGGCATATTTTGTCATCTTTGCTTATATTCCACTCTCTTAGCAGCCTGTCATATTCAGAAGTAGAAAACATTCACACCAAGAGTTACAGCAGATTCAGTGAGCCTTGAGTGCCTACACCTGATGAAAAAACTTCCCTAGCTCCTAAGTAGCAGTTTTGGTGGCTTTGGGCATTATTTATGTTAAAAGAAGTCATTGCTAAAATGTCAGATGCCTAAATCTGCAACAGGCTTTGTCTTGGGTCCTCCTAATCTCTGCAAGCTTTGTGCACTTCAGAAGCTAATCCGGAACCATATAAGCAAAACTATATATTCAGCAGTGATTTACAAGTAATTGGGAACTTATTTTCCTGTGCATTTCAAGAGGAACAAATCCTGTTAGCTTCAAGAGACACAAACTGCTGTCTAAAGAACAGTAGGGAATGAACAAAATCTAACATTCTCACTTCCTTCTAAACAAAACTGCACAAGCTTTCCTTCTGAAAAATACCCAAACCACCCTTTTACTGCAGGAAGAAGCCTTTTCATTGACACTGAGTATCACAATAAATGAGACAGAAAATTGAACACTTATTCTGATTCTAGCCAGCAGATGCTTTGGTGTTGTTTTTCAGCACCTGAAGTGAGCTCACAGACTCCTTCAGGTAAGCTGCCCTGTGCAAACCAAGGAGTTGAGGCTGATGAACACTCCACTTGGTGATTTTATAGGAGACCTGCTGTGCAGATTTTTAACCACTCGATACTAGTTCTGTGGGGGAAAGAAAAAAACTTTAAAAGCCCAATTTAAATTCAGCTGCAGGAGGTAGCTTTTAATTGCACTTTGGATCAATAGAGAAGCAACCTAACACTTGCACTTGATTACTAGGCAGGGCTTGTACTTTTCCAGACTGCTTTTCCAATGTTCCTTTTTCCTTATTCGCTCCCAAAGTCTGGATTCTCCACAATGTAAGTGCAGAACAAAGTATTCATATCACTAGAGCACATACCAAACCATGTACCTGTGCCATAGATGTTGGTATCTTATCAGCAGCAACATGTTCAGTAAGTAGTCCTAACATTTATAAAGTATTAGAAAAGTGTTAAAAATAGCAATCCAAATAATTATAGCCTGAAGTGACAGGTGTACACAAGCACTTAAAGGGTGTCAAGTAGCATTTTATTTCCCAGCTGTATAAAATTAAAAGCAGGCCAAAGGTAGACAGGCATTACCAAAGCTCCATCGAGAATTCTTTCAATCCAGAGAAAACTTGTTCCTGTAGCCCTCTTGTGTTCAGCTGGATTAACAGCTATTACAGCCAGAGCACCCTTCCTTACCTCCCCAAAATCACAGCTCTGCATGCCTTAACTTAACTACACTGCCAGTCAGTTCTTTGTCCTGTACACCTTCACTCAGTTTCTTTCATGGTTTTCCTCTTTCCATCCTGGTTTTAAAATCAAAACCCCTCCAGGCTCCCGTGCTCCTGAAACAGCAGAGTGCTCAGTTGGTGTATTCATACCATAAAACAGGGAACCACTGCTTTGGAGTAGGACTAAAGCACCTCTCATTGCCTGTGAGCATACTGATATTCCCAGCATTTCTTCTCCATAAAAGGACTGTAATGAGCACAATTTACAGCCTTGTTTGTCTCTTTTAGTTAATGCCTGTGAGTTCAAGTTTTAAATTGAGTATCCCACAAACACCATTTAGACACGTGCAATTCTCTACCCTTGCAGAAATCACCCTGACATTCTCCAAACTCTGACAGTTCTGTTTATTCCACATCTTCCCTGCCAATCACCAAGTCATGGCTGCACTGCAATGGGTGCCTAATGGGATGGAGTGTTGTAACTGAGGATAAGGAAGTGGGTTGTGTCCTGAACCACACTCACCTTCCATGTCTGCTGCCTCAGCCATCCTTCATTCAAGCACTGCAAGAGACATCAGGAGGCTCTGGTGAGCTGGGCAGGTGTGCTTCAAGAGCTGCTGTCACCTGTCTCAGGGAGCCAAACTCCAACATGGATGTGCTGCTGTGGAGGAAACCTGGAGAAGGAGCCATATACTAAGGAAGAAAGAGAAATGAATGAGAGCAGAGAAAAGACAAAGGACAGCACCAGAACTGACAGCACAAGCCAGCCATGGCTCAGCAGCAATGCCATCAAGCAAGCAGGGCCCGCCCTTGATCAGGTGCACTTGAGCTCCTGAAAACTCAAGAGTTTTGGCAGATATACACATGCAGATTTTGAGAGAAGCTGAAAACAGGCTTCAGAAAAAAGACTCAGTATAGATACTGCAA